AGAAACAACACCATCTCTTTCTGATGTTAGAAACAACACCATCTCTTTCTGATGTTAGAAACAACACCATCTCTTTCTGATGTTAGAAACAACACCATCTCTTTCTGATGTAAGAAACAACACCATCTCTTTCTGATGTCAGCATCATCGTAAGCTCTTTTTAGCATCACCAATTTCTGTCATCAGAAATGTCACCTCTCTATAATGTCAACAACGTCACCTTCTTCTGATGTTAGCAACATTTCCTCTTTATGTGTGAAATGTCTCCTCTTTCTGATGTCAACAACGTCATCTACTTCTGCCGTCAGAAATGTCACCTCTATATGATGTCAACAACGTCATCTACTTCTGCCGTCAGAAATGTCACCTCTATATGATGTCAACAATGTCATCTACATGTACTTCTCCTGTCAGAAATGTCACCTCTTTATAATGTCAACAATGTCATCTACATGTACTTCTCCTGTCAGAAATGTCACCTCTTTATAATGTCAACAATGTCATCTACATGTACTTCTCCTGTCAGAAATGTCACCTCTTTATAATGTCAACAATGTCATCTACATGTACTTCTCCTGTCAGAAATGTCACCTCTTTATAATGTCAACAATGTCATCTACATGTACTTCTCCTGTCAGAAATGTCACCTCTTTATAATGTCAACAATGTCATCTACATGTACTTCTCCTGTCAGAAATGTCACCTCTTTATAATGTCAACAATGTCATCTACATGTACTTCTCCTGTCAGAAATGTCACCTCTTTATAATGTCAACAATGTCATCTACATGTACTTCTCCTGTCAGAAATGTCACCTCTTTATAATGTCAACAATGTCATCTACATGTACTTCTCCTGTCAGAAATGTCACCTCTTTATAATGTCAACAATGTCATCTACATCTACTTCTGCCGTCAGAAATGTCACCTCTTTATAATACCAGAAACAATGTCAGCATCAAATACAGAATTACAGTTAAAATTGGACATTGTTTTATTTTCAGTATATTAGACCCCTTCACCAAACCTTCTGTACCTTCCACTGTGTAAGTCTGTGTAGGCCACCAGCATGTCCCCGTTGCCCTTGACGATGTAGGCAGGCCACACTGTGATGCTGTCGGTCTGTGAATACAGGGATGACTGAGAGAGCGATGCCCGTCGACTGAGCTGTATTGAGGGCCCAAAGTCAAACCCCATAGTTCTCTCCCCTAGTGCTGTTGCCACGGAAATGCAGCTGGTTGTCTGGCTCAGGTCTGCTCCGTGACTGTCAAGGTGTATCACCTGTGTAGGGATGTCTGGGAACTGTACGTTATACACACTACAACATCAAAACAGACAGCAAAATGATTCCCATGAAGGATACATGATACCACAAACTTTATAACCACGTATTAGTGTTATCTCTATAGGACACACTTCCTATCCCTTTATAACCATGTGTTAGTGTTATCTCTATAGGACATACACTTCCTATCCCTTTATAACCACGTGTTAGTGTTATCTCTATAGGACACACTTCCTATCCCTTTATGACCATGTGTTAGTGTTATCTCTATAGGACATATACTTCCTATCCCTTTATAACCACGTGTTAGTGTTATCTCTATAGGACACACTTCCTATCCCTTTATACCAGATTAGTGTCTGGAGTTATCTGTCTTGAGGCTTTTACCCATCTAACACTTAGCTTCAATCCCATTATTTGAGGTAGAAATATCTCTCTTAACCCTCACCCCTAGGTAACTTTAGTGGACTCTACCTTGCATTTATTGTGATGATTCCATTGAGGTCTATGGTGATGAAATGGTAAAGGGAGTATGCAACTTTACACATAAAATCGGTGATAAGTGTAATATTGATTATCAGTATTTCATTACTCAAGACTTAGTAGAGTTTTCTATCTGTATATTCTATTTTGAAGTACCTCTCAAACAATATTAAAAGAGCATGAAGGGAAAAGAAAAGCATGTGACAATGAGATAACTATGCCTAACAGATAGCCAGGTGGCTATAGTGGTGCCAAAGGCCTTTGACTGTGAGTAGTAAACCCCTCTGATGTACAAAAGGGTCAGTTATACAGCTGTACATGTATCCAGGGGTCAGTTATAAAGCTGTATAGGTATCTAGGGGGTCAGTTATACAGCTATACAGGTATCTAGGGGGTCAGTTATACAGCTGTACAGGTATCTAGGGGGTCAGTTATACAGCTATACAGGTATCAAGGGGGTCAGTTATACAGCTATACAGGTATCTAGGGGGTGAGTAATACAGCTATACAGGTATCTAGGGAGTCAGTTATAAAGCTGTATAGGTATCGAGGGGGTGAGTTATACAGCTATACAGGTATCTAGGGGGTCAGTTATGCAGCTATCTAGGGGGTCAGTTATACAGCTATACAGGTCTCAAGGGGGTCAGTTATACAGCTATACAGGTATCAAGGGGTTCAGTTATACAGGTATCTAGGGGGTCAGTTATACAGCTGTACAGGAATCTAGGGGGTCAGTTATACAGCTATACAGGTATCTAGGGGGTGAGTTATACAGCTATACAGGTATCTAGGGAGTCAGTTATACAGCTATACAGGTATCCAGGGGTCAGTTATACAGCTATACAGATATCCAGGGGGTCAGTTATACAGCTGTACAGGTATCTAGGGGGTCAGTTATACAGCTATCTAGGGGGTCAGTTATACAGCTATACAGGAATCTAGGGGGTGAGTTATACAGCTATACAGGTATCCAGGGGGTCAGTTATACAGCTGTACAGGTATCTAGGGGGTGAGTTATACAGCTGTACAGGTATCCAGGGGGTCAGTTATACAGCTATACATGTATCTAGGGGGTGAGTTATACAGCTATACAGGTATCTAGGGGATCAGTTAACCAGGTATCTAGGGGGTCAGTTATACAGCTATACAGGTATCCAGGGGGTCAGTTATACCGCTATACAGGTATCTAGGGGGGCAGTTATACAGCTATACAGGTATCCAGAGGGGTCAGTTATACAGCTATACAGGTATCCAGGGGGGTCAGTTATACAGGTATCCAGGGGGTCAGTTATACAGCTATACAGGTATCCAGAGGGGTCAGTTATACAGCTATACAGGTATCCAGGGGGTCAGTTATACAGCTATACAGGTATCAAGGGGGGTCAGTTATACAGCTATGCATGTATCCAGGGGTCAGTTATTTAGGCATTGAACTGTACATGTTCTAGCGCACATTATGTTGTTTGCTTGCAAAGCTGTGTCATTCAAATAGATCATAAATACCATACAAAAACAGTTCAATACTTATATTTATGTTTTCTCTGCCTCTTATGTTCTTTTTTAACTTAAAATTATATTTAAAATTCCTGCCTTATCAACAGTCCACACAAATTCGTTCAATAGTTGGAACAGCATGTTGTCCCGTGCTGATTGGCAAACAAAGTAGTACTTTGAAATTTTAACAAACACTTCAATTTTATTCCACAATTCAGTATCAATACAATTGCGTATGATATGTTTATAGGGTGATTTAAGTTTATCAATAGAACTCTGAGCTGAAACAGAACCGGAACAAATTTCGCGCATGGATGAATACAGTGAACAACGTAAATCCGACCTTGCCCTCCATAAGGGAGTTATTTTTGGAAGTTAATTCTAAAGTTTCTCTTTGCTCATTTTGTGAAGAATCCAGCGTGAATTTATTTATTGATTGAATGAGAATCTGACTACAGTCGGTAGAGTCTATAACAGCCTCGTTATTTGACATGTTGTGATCAGAAACTGAGGAAACCGTGGCTGCGAGACGCGTAAAACTGATATTATAGAAACCTGAGTTTTTTACATTAAGAAAAAGAACACAATTTCTCAACAATCTATTAATTTTAGAGGAAAATTGCACAAGAAATGTTGAAGTTGTTCAGGACACAAGAGGTGGAGTTTATTGACAGGTATTATCTACTTAGAGGTGTTTATAGACACGTAATTATCTACTTAGAGGTGGTGTTTATAGACAGGTATCTTCTACTATAGACAGGTGTTTATAGACAGGTATCTTCTACTATAGACAGGTTAAGTAGCCACAGAGAGAGAGAGGTGACTAAGCACAGGTGATTGTCTTAGAGATGACCTTTATAGGCAGGTAAATTAACTTAGAGGTAGTGTTTATAAAAAGGTTTTATCTACTTAGAGGTAGTGTTTATAGACAGGTATTTCCTACTTAGTGTTGGTGTTTATAGACAGGTATTTCTAACTTAGAGGTGGTGTTTATAAACAGGTATTTCCTACTTAGAGGTAGTGTTTATAAAAAGGTATTATCTACTTAAAGGTGGTGTTTATAAACAGGTATTATCTACTTAGAGGTGGTGTTTATAGACAGGTATTATCTACTTAGAGGTGGTGTTTATAGACAGGTATTTCCTACTTAGAGGTGGTGTTTATAGACAGGTATTTCCTACTTAGAGGTGGTGTTTATAGACAGGTATTATCTACTTAGAGGTGGTGTTTATAGACAGGTATTTTCTACTTAGAGATGGTGTTTATAGACAGGTATTTTCTACTTAGAGATGGTGTTTATAGACAGGTATTTTCTACTTAGAGGTGGTGTTTATAGACAGGTATTTTGTACTTAGAGGTAGTGTTTAAAGACAGGTATTTTGTACTTAGAGGTAGTGTTTATAGACAGGTATTATCTACTTAGAGGTGGTGTTTATAGACAGGTATTTTCTACTTAGAGATGGTGTTTATAGACAGGTATTTTCTACTTAGAGATGGTGTTTATAGACAGGTATTTTCTACTTAGAGGTGGTGTTTATAGACAGGTATTTTCTACTTAGAGGTGGTGTTTATAGACAGGTATTTTCTACTTAGAGATGGTGTTTATAGACAGGTATTTTCTACTTAGAGGTGGTGTTTATAGACAGGTATTTTGTACTTAGAGGTAGTGTTTAAAGACAGGTATTTTGTACTTAGAGGTAGTGTTTATAGACAGGTATTATCTACTTAGAGGTGGTGTTTATAGACAGGTATTTTCTACTTAGAGGTGGTGTTTATAGACAGGTATTTTCTACTTAGAGATGGTGTTTATAGACAGGTATTTTCTACTTAGAGATGGTGTTTATAGACAGGTATTTTCTACTTAGAGGTGGTGTTTATAGACAGGTATTTTCTACTTAGAGGTAGTGTTTATAGACAGGTATTTTCTACTTAGAGATGGTGTTTATAGACAGGTATTTTCTACTTAGAGGTGGTGTTTATAGACAGGTATTTTCTACTTAGAGGTAGTGTTTATAGACAGGTATTTTCTACTTAGAGATGGTGTTTATAGACAGGTATTTTCTACTTAGAGGTGGTGTTTATAGACAGGTATTTTCTACTTAGAGGTAGTGTTTATAGACAGGTATTTTCTACTTAGAGATGGTGTTTATAGACAGGTATTTTCTACTTAGAGGTGGTGTTTATAGACAGGTATTTTCTACTTAGAGGTAGTGTTTATAGACAGGTATTTTCTACTTAGAGGTGGTGTTTATAGACAGGTATTTTCTACTTAGAGGTAGTGTTTATAGACAGGTATTTTCTACTTAGAGGTGGTGTTTATAGACAGGTATTTTCTACTTAGAGGTAGTGTTTATAGACAGGTATTTTCTACTTAGAGGTGGTGTTTATAGACAGGTATTTTCTACTTAGAGGTAGTGTTTATAGACAGGTATTTTCTACTTAGAGGTGGTGTTTATAGACAGGTATTTTCTACTTAGAGGTAGTGTTTATAGACAGGTATTTTCTACTTAGAGGTGGTGTTTATAGACAGGTATTTTCTACTTAGAGGTAGTGTTTATAGACAGGTATTTTCTACTTAGAGGTGGTGTTTATAGACAGGTATTTTCTACTTAGAGGTAGTGTTTATAGACAGGTATTTTCTACTTAGAGATGGTGTTTATAGACAGGTATTTTCTACTTAGAGGTAGTGTTTATAGACAGGTATTTTGTACTTAGAGGTAGTGTTTATAGACAGGTATTTTCTACTTAGAGGTGGTGTTTATAGACAGGTATTTTCTACTTAGAGGTAGTGTTTATAGACAGGTATTTTCTACTTAGAGGTGGTGTTTATAGACAGGTATTTTCTACTTAGAGGTGGTGTTTATAGACAGGTATTTTCTACTTAGAGGTAGTGTTTATAGACAGGTATTTTCTACTTAGAGGTGGTGTTTATAGACAGGTATTTTCTACTTAGAGGTAGTGTTTATAGACAGGTATTTTCTACTTAGAGGTGGTGTTTATAGACAGGTATTTTCTACTTAGAGGTAGTGTTTATAGACAGGTATTTTCTACTTAGA